ATAGATTTGTGTTGCAAAAACAGCCTAACGACAGCACCGCACACCTCGTGCCAACTGCCAGAGTTACTCTGCCTCAGGGGAAACTGAGAGAAGCCTGTTACTGTAGGGCCTGAGCTCTTCTGTCACACGCCGCCGCACGTGTACGAAGGCAGAGAACAGACTTCTAGAGCCGGAAGCAAACACGACGCAGCTGGGTGGACCCTGCCGTTTTAGCAGGATGGTGGCGTCTCGCTATAGAATGGCCGGCCCAAGGTGACCCCTAGAGGGTCGCGGGCGGGGCTGCTCCCGGCCTCCTGGCACCACAGGAGGGACAGGCTGGCCGACTGCAAGGCGGCCTCGTCTGAGAGAAGCTGGGGAGGGTCGGGAACAACAGCACAGTCTGCGGCACCGGGACGCGGGCTTCACGCGAACCGTGCCGGGTGACAGCACGACGGCGCGTCTCCCACCCATTTCCAGACAAGGAAGTCAAAAATTCTCGAGGTTAAATAACTTGCCCAAATTACCCAGCCAACAGGTGACAGAATGAGCTTTTGAGCTCTGACTACACTCTCTCTCCACCATCCCTTGGAGCTAAATCATCCTGCATTTTCCTCTCTCCTTCCGCCCTCCGTCTGTCCGTCCGTGGGCGGCAGGGCCTGTCCGGGCGGAGGAGGTCTGCACCCGAACGCCGCGGCCGCTCCAAGGCTCCAGGCTTGGTTTGAAAGCAGGATGGTAAGGAGACCAAACACGTAAACTAACTTTGAAATTTAAGTCTCCTCTGAGACTGGAAGCTAGCTTTGGCGCCTTGGCAGTAAACGTCACCCAGTATTTGAGATAAAGGAAAAATAAAAACGTGGTTAAGAAGGTAAACACTGAGTTTTGCTTCTGCAGCTGAACTAGTCCTCAGCCGCAGCTCTGACTACCAGTCACCCAGTATTTGAGGCAGTCGGTCCCCAACTGCAAAGCCCGAAGCGCAGACTCCCGGAAGCTGGTGGCAGGGCGGGGGGGTGCACGGCCCCGCCCCGCAGGCACCCCCAGGGAGCCGCGATCAACCAGACTTCGGCAACGTGGAGATGACTGAGACAGGCCTGCGACGGTTCATGGTGACGCCAGGGGCTGTTCTGTGCTACGGGTCTTCCCGGCCCGCGCGCTCTTCTGTGAGGACTCGGGCAGGCCGCCCTGCAGGCCCCTCCTGCGGGGACGCTGGGGACGTGCCCGGGCGAAGCCATGGAGCGGAGCCTCCGAAGGCCTCTGCAGTTCTGCAAACCCAAGAGCTTCCCGGGCAGACGCTACTCGGTGGGCCAACTCCGCCGCCCGGCCCACGTGCCTCTCCGCACGTCCCCACACTGGCGACGCCGGCTTCACCTTCTAAAAATGAGGCAGCAGAGTCAGCGCACACTTCCGTCTTCCTTTCCAAACCGCGCATTTCCACGGCCGTCTGGCGTGTGTGTGGCTACGCGTGCGTGGTGCAGGGAGGCGCAGCGTGCGCGGGTCGCAGCGGGGACCCCGAGGACAGACGGTCCTGGGCGGGCTTGGTCCCAGCTCCGTCAGTGGCTACCTGGGTTCTCGTAGGCGCGTTACCCAACACACCGAGCCCGCTTCCTCCCCTGTGAAGTGAGGTGATACGCCTCCGTGCCTCACCAGGTGGGCTCAGGGGTGGCAGGGGACACGTGTGCAGAGCTGGGCAGGCGCCCGCCTGGCGCTCCGAGTGGGCACAGCGGACGGCAGCTCCCGCAGTGAACCGAGACTGGGGCCCGAGATGGCCCCGCGACAGGGCGAGACCTGCCCCTCCGTGGACAGGGCTGCCTCAGAATTCGGGGAGAGGCATCCCTTAGAGAACCTGGGGGTGGCATGTGGTCGTAAATGACAGTCCCATTTCTGCTGTTCCAACTTCACATCGTCGCATTAGGGGTGGAGCAAGCAAGCTTCGTTCTACGTGCATTAACTTCTAGTAGAAAATTAAGACCAGTGGAACACTCTGCAAAAGAATTAACACCTCTCTTATGAAACAGAATGTCTCTAAGAGCACAGTGCTGGCTGAGAAAAAGTAATACCAAGGGGACAGCAGGAAGAAAATATGTTATATTCAGAGAATGTACCTAAAAATTTAGAAAATTTCAGGCTATGTATGAATTGAATTAAACCTCAAGCACAAAAGTGAGCAGCACTGTTCAACTGACATTCTCGCAACGTCTCTCTCGTTCTGCCCAAAGCATGAAGTAGCTTTGCTGAGCCTCACAGACAGCGATGGGCAGGGCCACTTCACTCCTCGGGGTCTCGGACACCTGCGATCAGTTCCAAAGAACACAGCTGAGGGAACGGAGTTCCCAAGCCTCAGGCTTCACGGGCGTGCCACGAAACTGCGGCAGTCCCCCCTTACAGAGCGTCCTCGGAGCCCGCCTGGCCCTTCACTGACATGTTATTCAATTAAGCGTCACTTTTCTGGCTCCTAAATCCACACAGCAGATGAGAAGAAAGACACTGCCATGGGGCAGAGGTTCAGTCGCAAACGGCAAAGGAAGACACGCGCACACAAAGATAAGCAGTTTCCTAGAGTGCCACGTTATTTGGGGTCATTTAGAAAAGTGACAGACCACAATACTCCTTGTAGCTTAAGCTACAGGCTGTGTGCACTATGAATGATGGCGTGAGGCATTAAGAAATATTTAAATTACGTTCAGTGTACTCTGTTGACGACAGAGTTGCATCCAAGAGTGTTTCTTAAATTTACATGTTCTGACACTTAACCGCTTCGGTGCGGGCTCGCGCCGCCGGCCGCACAGTCCCGCGTCTGCGCCGCGCGACCCGGCCTCCGCTCCCGTGGGACGAGGGACGCCCGAGGGCGCTGGCGGCTCTGTCGCTTTACAGGCAGCGTTACTTGTCATGTCAATCAGAAGAGGCAACATGCACACATGTGTTTTCATTACGTTATTTTTAAATGCTCACAATTTTATTTCGATAAATGAAAAATTTAAAAAGCCATGCCAAGGCTGCCGGCCAGTCGCCGCTCGGCGCGCCGGCGCCGGAGTGGTCAGAGGGAAACACCGTCCTTTGGGAGCTCCGTTATCCAGAAGGGCTCGTTTCCACACATAGCTCGGTCATAAAAAACATTTCATGAAACAAAATTTGCCCAAAATAATTTATCTAATAAGCTATTTTAGTGCATCGGTGTTAATTCAATTTCATGGTTTTCATGAACGCTGCCAAACATTGAGCCCCTCGAGAGGGTCGGACAGGCCTCGCGCCCCGTGAGCGGCCTCGGGCGGCCTCGCTGCTGAGTCTGCGTCCCTAGCCCTGCTTCCCAAGCAACCTGCGCGCGATCCTAGCTCCTGTGACTGTTACAGAGAGAAACGAGAATCAGTGGAAAGGATAATGCAACAGACATCGTAGAAACGTTCACCACACGTCTGACCTCTCCCAGAGTCCCTTCAGGGAATTTCAAAGAAAATCCTCTTTGGGAAACCGATAACATAACACGTAAGCTTGGGAGCTCTGGGCACGCGGCTCAAAGAACTGAGGACGTCAGTCTGCAGGGGCAGTTGGAAGTGATTTCCGGGAGGGGCAGATCTGAAAGGCAAGAAAAGCATCAGGACAGTTTTCCAAGGGCATCTTCTAGCGCTTTCCTTGGCCCAACTGCCCTACTGTCCTTGGGTTCACAAGATGCTAGTATGTGAAAAATACATGTTCCTCTTCTTAAGCTAGCATGGGCTGCTTCCTGCACTTGTGACCCAAAGGCTCCCACAAGTGCACCCAGGGGTCCTGGTGAAATGGTCACAATTTGGAAACCTGCAGTTCGCACGCTAGTCTGGCCACGCTGTGCCACTGTGCTGCCATCTCCATGTAAGACCATGTGACCAAGCCTGGGCTCACCAGTCAGATCTGAATTTTCTGAGGAGCACTGTAGCCAAGTGTTACTGCCCTGCGAATTCTCTGCAAGCTTTCCACTCATCTGTGACGGGCACGGCAGGGATTGGCGGACGCGAGCACAGCAGGAGGAGGAGGAAGGTAGACGCAGGTAGGCCGTCTCCAGACTGTGTGGGAGCCTCTCCAGGCCACCGAGACCTCAGTCTCCGAGGCAGAGTGATCTGGCCACCCAGGCAAGGCAAGTGACAAGCCAGCAGTCGCTTCCTGTGGTAACATGGCAACACAGGGTTTCCCACGGGGCCTGGCTGTCACGCTGGGACCCTGGCAGGCCGCGCGCAGGGCCAGTGGTGAGCAAGGCGCAGACGCCTCCCCTGGAGACGCCGCCGGGCCCAAGGGAGCTGCAGGGCCGCGCGCTGCCGTTGGCTGCGGTGTGACGCCGCACTCCCGACTCCGACAGCCCCACCCCGCCCGGGCTCGCCGCCCTAGCGCTCCAGATGCCTGCGCGTCTTCTGCTTGTTCGGTAGTAATTCTAAGTATGGTACAGAAAGATGAAGAATGGAAAATGGGATGTCATTCTTTTAGCTCTCTAGTTGTCAAAGCCTTGATTTTCATTTGGAGACTTCGGACAAGCCTTAAGATTTCTCCAGTTGCCTGCAACTTTATTTTAATTTTATTATTTTTTAAGAGCTTGGCTTTGTTTTCTGACTCAGCATGTCAACTGAGAAGCTTACAGATACTTAATGTTGGTGACTATATTTGCATTCAGACCAAACATCAGACAAAAGTGTCAAACTTACCGGGATGAGCTTTAAAAATTATAGGAAGATAAATGATGTTCCCCAACTAGACCAGTGAGCACATTTAGAACACTCCAGAGCTGAGTCTCGGCTTCAAGCAAGGCTCAGGTTCACGGCTGCATCTTCCTGCCAGTCCTGCTGCCGCGCTCTGCCCGCCGCCGGTCAGCTCTGCCCTCGGCCCCAGGCCCCGGAGCCCCAAGCCCCGGAGCCCAAGCCCCGGAGCCCCAAGCCCCGGAGCCCCAAGCCCCGGAGCCCCAAGCCCCGGAGCCGCAAGCCCCGGAGCCCAAGCCCCGAAGCCCCAAGCCCCGGAGCCCAAGCCCCGGAGCCCAAGCCCCGGAGCCCCAAGCCTCGGAGCCCCAAGCCCCGGAGCCCCAAGCCCCGGAGCCGCAAGCCCCGCGCTTACGACCTCATCAGGCCCTCATGCACCATCATCAACCAAAACGCTAGAAACAATTCTTTTTTAAGCTAAAAATCCAAGCATGGTACAATTAACTTCTGTGTCCTATGCTCTGCTTAGCGGTGACCTCTCCCACACACCTCTTGGCCCCCAAGAAATAAAGGCTGAACTTTTTATTTAGTAAAAAACACATATTAATTTTTCATTTAGTTCAGCAAGCCTATAAGATAAAGATTATGCCGACTCCAAAAACACAGTGTGGGCGAGCGTGTCTGTGTGTGTCTAGAAGAGCTGTCTACCTCCCAGAAGTAGCTTGTTTAAACTAACTCTTCAATGTTATACAATCGAAGGAAATACTATGTAAAGAAATATCTAAAAATATCCTTTCAATCTATTAATATATAATTTTAAAATGGTGAGCTTTTTGTATTTGTTTTGCTTGTGTTTGTCCAGAAACCCCCAGAGCAGAGGCAGCGCTGCTAGGAGCCACGGCCACGCATGTGGCGGCCACTCAGGTAGGGGCCGGGCAGGTGACCTGCACAGGAACTGAGAACAGCTGCACCGTGCGCAAGTCATTTTCAGGATCATGCAGATGCTCTGCAGTTGCACGGAGCCACTCACAGCCTAAGGAATTAGTACGTGAAGAAGAGCTCTGCGCCCCTGTAATAGCGCTGGGAGGCGGTGCAGACCACGCCAGAGCAACGCTGGCCAGAGAGCCGGACTCGGGGAGTGGCGCATGGGGATCCTAGAGGCCTCTGGGCACAGTCCTGTCATTCGCACGGAGAAACCAGGGTCTGGAGGCTTTCAGCGACCTTCTCCGGTCTGCACAGTTTGCACAGAGCTGACCTGAGAGACCAGTGGCCTCATTCCAACACACAGCGCTCTATGTCCCTTGTGTGTCATTTCTCTGCCACTGCTCTGTTCCAGAACAGAATGCCCCTCTATGCTTCTGGGATAACAACGGCTATTTCTGAGAGTCACCTCCTCAGAGCAGCCTTTCCTGACCCCACAACCTAAAGCAGACCCCAGGCCACTCCGTTTCATTTTTATTACAGCACGTATTTTCCTGTTGGCTTGTTATTAACGACCTCACAGCAATGGAGTCATAAGCACCATGAGCACAGGGACCTTCTTTCTCATCCAACGCTGTATTTCCAAGTCTTGTAAGTCTCTACCTGCCATTTATGAGGTGCCCAATAAATGCTGAATGACAACTGAATGAGCCACACACAGAACAGTTTCTGAATTGCTAAAACAACAAAGGGGCAGGGAAACAACAGGAGCATCACCAGTCCTGATTTACTGAAATCTTTATGAACGTGAATCTGCGCTCCTCTCTGCTCCGTAATTCTTATCCAAGGACTGCCAGTTCTGCTCTCCAAACCGGGATGGTGTGGGGACAGTAACTTCTGAGGCCACATGGCTGGATCAGAGGACGAGAAGAGATTGGAGGACGAGAGATTGGAGAGCACCAGAGACTCTGGTTACGTGACGTGCGACCAGCTGGGGCCTCACGCAGGGCAGGGCTCGGTGAGAGTGGTGGTTGAGGGGGCGGTTGTTTCGTGTTTGTTTTTCTTAACCTTTAGAGAAAATAAGCAACCCGGCCTCATCTTTTACATCTAAAATAACGTTAATTGTGGAGAACATCCAATTGAATACCAAACTATGAAGCACAGAAATACATTTTTGTATAACTTTTAACAGAGATAATTACCTTTGAAGATTTTGGTGCAAACAGAAGAAGACTAAACCGACAAGTGCCAGCCCTCAGCACCCTGCACTTGCGGGGCTCTTGGTTAGGAGGCAGAATGTGGAGAAAACTGCTGGCCAATCCTAAGTGTTCGGTAATTAAAAGGACACGATTCTTAAAAAAAAAAAAAATACAAAGCGTGTGCTTGTGCTTTGTACTGGATTTACTTCTATGATGTCACCAGCCTCTAGGGACAGGGCCGTGGCCGAGTCACAGCTGTGCCTCCCAGCCACCAAGCCAGGTGGCTGCTCAGAAGACGTCCTCGATTAACAGCTCTTAAGTCAGATTAAATGTGGACACTGCCTACAATCGCGGTCTTTTTTTAGATGCACTGGCAACTGATGTGAAGGGATGGTCTTCTTTTCACTGAGAAACCCTGGCACTCAGTTGAGAAGAGTTTTGATATCATAAAACTACAGTGATGGGATTTTGAAAAACCTGGGCAAGGTGAGTAAAGATCAAGAAAGTTCCGTAGAGAAGAAGGCAGCCAACTGAGGCTCGGGAGTTAGAAGGAACTTGTGAGCTGGCCGGGCCCCGGAGGCGAGGCTTGGATCCCACACAGACGTCCGCAGGCGGCAGTACCACTGTCCCCATTTTACAGATGAGGAAAATGAAGATAAAAAGCAGAAGCAGACTGACCAGGCAATCGGGTCATTTAACATTCACATCTATTTGGCATCAAAATCTCGGCTGGCTCCTTTGGGAGAGCCGCTTGAAATCTCAGCACCAAATTCACTTTTGAGAGTTTAGTTAAGGGTCACCTGGTTTCGTCGAGAGCCAGGTGATTTGCAGGACGATGTTCTTCTCCAGTGAAAACTGCAGGGTTCACAGGGGCAGTGGCAGTGAGGAGAGGTGGAGATGGAGAACGAGCTAAGGGACAAACCGCAAGGGAGGGGAGGCAGGTTCCCCACTAGGCATGCACGCTGTCCTCCAGGAAGGAAAAGCACCAGCTATTCCGGGTTCAGAAGAGACACCCTCAACTTGTGCTGGACAAAGTCCCCTGGGAGCGACATGGAGGGTGAACTGGCAGGAGCTAAGTCTGGAGGCAGAAGAGTTACTCAAAGGTTACGTCCAGATAGAAAGTCTGAGTACCCAGCTGGGGCTGACCTGACAGGACCTGGTGGGGTTCGCGGGCTGTGGGTTCCCAGAGAGCGAGCAGAATCAGAGGGAACTTCTCTGGAAGGAATGTTACCAGGAGAAGATGCAGAAATACCGAAAATTCAAAGCTTCATAAAGACCAAGCCTCAAAAGCCAGGTTCCTTGGGCTAGTGGTCACGTGGATAAAAATTAAAACTTTATAGTAAGAAGAAATAAAGCTAATATTGCCTATAAATACTAGAGTGAAATCTAGCAATGGTTACCAATAAAGTACTCGATAGAAGAAAGGGAATGGAGAAGGAATAAATGGGGAAAAGGGACAGAAAGATAAAAGCACACTGTATTGCAAATACATAGCCGGTATAAAAACCACCAGATTTTTAAAAGCACTAATTGGATTTTGGCGGAGTTTTCCTCTTTAAGGAGCAATGCTGAATGAAATTACTCTGAGCAAGAAGATTCACAAGCAAGTGCCTCTTTTTATCACTAATGTCAGCAGTAGGACCAGAGGGTCGTTCTTACCATGCTTCAGATGTAGGCAGCTGTCATTCTTGGACCTGTACCTGCAGAAAATTGTGTCTTTAACAAATTTTTATTGAAGAGGTTTTTGTACATTCCAAATATGTAGCAGCTACAACACCATGTGGACTTGTTTGCTTTACTTTTATGGTTCTTATACCAGCTGTTTTTATTGGTGCAGTACCAGTGGTGGCCTTATTTTCAGTAAGAGAAAAAGGGGAAATAAATGAGACCTCACTGATGCCTTGAATTAATGTATAAGGAAGACAAACCTTATAAGTGTTTCATATTTTTCTAAAAACCCAAATCACAGAAGAGAGTCTCAAGGGGATACAAGGTAGTATAGTGTATAATTATGATAAAAACGACATTTTAAGGAGTTATGCAAATAGAAAAAAAGCAGAAGTGTTAAAGCAAAGAGAACACACACAACAAAAGCAAAAAAAGAAAAAGAAAAAGAAAAAAAGAAAAACAAGCCCAAACAAAACAAAACAAAAACTCCCCACAGTTGACAACCAGGATTCCAGGTGACAGGATTTAGGAAAGAGTTTTTACATGTACCTTCACATAGTCACGTTTAAAAGAAAGATCTTTTAAACATTTTTAAAGCATTTCAGGAAGAAAAGCAGAGTTAAAGAACCACAGTCGCAGCCACAGAAGAAAGCAGGGGTGGAGGGGCGCAGACTGCTGCAAAGGGACGGACTGGAGGGCACACGGTGCCTACCTGACGTGGACTCCTGCAGTTTCTCTCTCTTCCTCTTCTTTTTCTTACCCTGGAAGAAGAGAGGCATATGGTCACTTCACGGACTGCACCAGACACACAGAGCATGACATGACAGCACAGGCAGGTGACAGGTAAAGATGGCTCCTCATCTCTTCCCCTCTCCACCACCTGCATCTAAGGAAGAAAGTCAGACAGCGAGAGAAAGGGGACATAAATGATCTTTGTGACCTCTGTCTCTGCAGCTCCATATTTGACATCAGTATTGACGCTGTCAGTAATCCATCTGTCTTGCATGCGCGTGTGCACACACACACCCACACCCACACAACACCACACACAACACCCAACACCCAACACCACCACACAACCCACCCACCCAACACACACCACCACCCACCAACACACACACCACAACACACCACACACACCACACACACACACCACCACCCACAACACACATACACACACACACCCAACAACTCAACCCTCCCACACACACAACCAACACCCACACCCCCACCAACCCACACACACCCAACACACCCACACCAACACACCCCACCAACACCACCACCGACCCCAAACCAACACACACACCCACCCACACAACACCCCCACCAACCCACACCCTCCACCCCCCCACACCACCCCACACACCCACCCACAGACCCTACACACACCACACCCCCCACAACCACACAAACACCCCACCCACACCACCCACCCCCCACACAACCCACCAACCCCCACACCACAACCTCCACACCCACCCCCACACACACACACTCCCACCACACACCACACCAAACCCACAACCACCACACACACCCCACATCACCCACCCAACACACCCCCACCCCACACACACGCCCCACACCACACACACACCACCCAACCACACACCCACCCCACCCACACACCACCCAACAACCCACACCACCCACAAACCACCGACACCACACACCCAAACCCACACCAACACCCACCACACACACACCACAACCCACCCACCACAAAAACACACACAACACCCCACACCCACCAAACAACCCACCCCACACCGACCACCCAACCCCCCAAACACACCACACCCACACCACAACACCCACACAGAACCCCCCCACCCACCCACCACACACCACCCACCACCACACCACCCACACCCACACCACACCCACCCACCAAAACCCACCACACCACCAACACACACACCCACACACACAACACCAAACCCCCCACGGCAAACACACACCCACCGAACCCGGCACACCACCCACACCCACCCACCATCAACACCACCAACCACCCCATACCATCACCCACATGGCACCAACCACCACCACCCACCACACCCAACAACCCACCACACACCAACACACACAACCCACCCCACCACACCCACCACCCACACCCCACACACCACCCACACCCACCCAACACCCCCACCCACACCACCCACAACCCACCCAACACCCACCCCCCACACCACCCAAAACCACACACACCACAACCCCACACACCCACCCAACCACACACCGGACCACACCACACACCCACCACCACCCACACCACAACACACCACCCACACCCCACCCCCACACCCCCACACACCCACCACCCCCCCACACACCCACCCCAACAACACCCACACCCCACCCACCCACACCACCACACACCCACACACCCCACACACAACACAACACCACCCCACAACACACACACACACCCACCACACAAACACCCCACACCACCAACCACCACACAACCAACCCACACACAACCACCGACACACCACACACAACCCACCACCAACCCCCAACCACCCACACACACCACCACACAACAACACACACACACAAGCACATGGCTACAGCAGGACAGCAGATGAGTCCGGCTGAGGCGCAGAACCTGCTTGGAGGAAAGCCCGCTCACCGAGGCACTCCCTGCCTTAGGGACCACCCCACACTTAGAACCCACTTCCGGTCGTGCTGCAGGTAGTGCTGTCACTGTGTGACAGTCCCACAGTGCGAGCCGAGTGCTCCCGGCCCTTGGGGCCCAGGCAGGACAGAGCCAAGGAGAGAGGCAGAAAGGAAGACGGAAGCTGGGAGAACTGAAGATGATGTGATGACTTGTTCCTGCCAATTAAGGGCACTGCTTCCCAAGACAGACAACAACATGGGTGTGCACACAGTTTAAATGCATGTCAAAAGTCATGCCAAATTAGAAGACTCAGGTCCCACAATAAAGTGGTCTAGTTTCCCACTTTCCTTCATAATTACTTCCCCCTCAAAAATAATTTTAATAGGGTATCATCCACAGTCTACTTCCGGTAAATGACTGGATGCATCATGTATTTTCAGATAACTATAACAGAACACATATCATATCCAATATCTCCCTTATGTCTGTTGTGATAATCACATTGGTGAATAAAACTAAGATTATACTGAATATGTTTTGTGACTTTACAAAATAAAGTAGCTTTTCTTTATTGAAACTGTTAGATTTAGGGCCCACCTGGATAATCCAGGATGGCCTCCTGGATTAACTTAATCAAGATTAAGCTAATCATATCTCAAGATCTTAACTTAATCATATCTACAAAGGCTCTTTTATCCAATAAGGTCACATTCACAGCTTCTGGGGAGCAGAACGTGGACATGTCCTTTTGTGGAGACGCACTGAGACCCGGGTGTGGACTGCAGCCCAGCCGCCTACTGCACGGCCTTGGACAAGTGACTTAGCCTCTTTGACCCCTCTATTTCCTCACCTGAGAAGTGGAATAATAATAAGCTTATGGCTCTGGATTGTTGTAAGGATTAGAAAAAGATAAAGAATTTAACACAGTTCCTGCCATCAGCACGTGGCGGTTACTACGCCACTCGCAGAGTGGACGGTGCTGCTGCTCCCAAGGAGCAGACAGCGAGACTCCAGCTTCCCGTGTCGCCCTGGCAAGCTCCAAACGCGCAAGCTCCAAACGCGCAAGCTCCAAACGCGCAAGCTCCAAACGCGCAAGCTCCAAACGCGCAAGCTCCAAACGCGCAAGCTCCAAACCAAACGCGCAAGCTCCAAACGCGCAAGCTCCAAACGCGCAAGCTCCAAACGCGCAAGCTCCAAACGCGCAAGCTCCAAACGCGCAAGCTCCAAACCCCGGCCAGTAAAGAGACCTTTTCTGTGCAGCGTGTTACAGGAAACCAATTGCACAGCCGTTTCCAGAAATAAGTTTACACGTGCTTATGACCTCGGACTTCAGCCCTGTCATCATCTGTGTGGGAACTGAAGTCCCACAGGACATCTATAGCAACAGCCTCATATTAGATTATTGATCAGGGGCTTCAACTCTGCCCTCTTTAAAAGGCAGTATCACGATGGTCCTGGCTGGAAGCTCCAATGCTAGTCCTTCACAGAACATGAGAATTACTATAGGCTGAACTTTGTATCCCCTCAAATTCATGGTCAAATCCTAACCCCCAATATGATGGTGTCATAGGGAGGGGCCTTTGGGAGTATCCCCTCAAATTCATGGTCAAATCCTAACCCCCAATATGATGGTGTCATAGGGAGGGGCCTTTGGGAGGTGCTCAGGGCATGAGCAAGGGGCTCTAGTCAATGGGAGTCGTGCCCTTATAAAGGAGATCATATGCATGATCAGCCTGGGCAACATATCAAGACCCCATCTTTACGAGAAATTTAAAAATAAAAAAGTTAGCCAGGCGTGGTAGTGCGTGCCTACTGTCCCAGCTACCTGGGAGGTTGAGGTGGGAGGATCACTGGAGCCCAGGAGTTTGAGGTCATAGTGAGCTATGATGATGCCACTATACTTCAGCCTGGGCAGCAGAGCAAGCCCTTATCTCTAAAAAGAAAAAAGGAGAGAGTGCCGCGACCTTAGAGAGCGCCGTCCCCTTCTAGCTCGAGAGAGCAGAGCGAGATGGCTGGAGGAGGCACCACCTCGCCAGGAAGCAGATCCGCCTCACCCTCATCTCGGACACCCAGCCTCCGGAAGTGTGGGAAATAAATTTCTGTTGTTTATAAGCCTCCCAGTCTGTGGTATTCTGTCATAGCAGACCGAATGAACTAATACAAGAATGATCTTCACAATTTACGAGCTTAAATAGTCAAAATTATTCCCTTCTATAAAACTTTAAATATATCACTTATAATATAGTTTCTCAGAAACAGTCTTTGCCATATCAAGACTACATTAGTAAAATGCTCAGACATTATGGTAATAAAAGAACTGACAATATAAATGAGGTATTTCTTGCCAATAAAATTAGCACACCTTAAACATGGTAATACCTACTGTGTCTGAATAAAATATATAGTAGACGTCAGGGTACATTAATATGAATTTTTTTTTTACCCAGTTCTAATTAGTCTATGGCAAAACAGAAACCTGAATACAGTGATTTAAGAAGTATAAAATGATAACAATCCTTTGGAAAGCAACTTGACAATATGTATCAAGAACTTTTAACTATTTTTATCTTTTAATTCAACAATTTCTAAAAAACAACTATGTACAGACATGTTCACTGAAGGATTATTTGCATTTGTGTAAAAAAAAATAGCAACTTAAATGTCTAAAAGCAGGAAAAAATGATTAATTGTGACATTCACTCAATGGAATTTAATACGTGTAAACGCTATGCCATAGCAGAAAGATGCTTTTTACGTGTAAGAGCAAGAAGGGTGACACAAAAGCATATGTGTACACACACACATACAAAAAAAAAAAAAAAAACTCAAAAAAAATACTAGAAGGTAACATAAGGCAACAAACATTAGGTTACTAATGTTTGTTGCCTTTACACCGTAAAATTATGGGCTTTTGTTTTTATCTTTTTAATCAACATTTTAATGGAAGGTGCTTCTTTTTTTATTAAGAAGCTTTATTTTAAAAAGTACATTAGCACCAGACCAGGCGCGGTGGCTCACGCCTGTAATCCTAGCACTCTGGGAGGCTGAGGCGGGAGGATCGCTCAAGGTTAGGAGTTCGAAACCAGCCTGAGCAAGAGCGAGACCCCATCTAAAAATAGAAATTAGCTGGCCAACTAAAAATATATGGAAAAAATTATCCGGGCCTGGTGGCACATGCCTGTAGTCCCAGCTACTCAGGAGGCTGAGGCAGGAGGATCACTTGAGCCCAGGAGTTTGAGGTTGCTATGAGCTAGGCTAATGCCACAGCACTCTAGCCTGGGTAGCAGAGTGAGACTCTGTCTCAAAAAAAAGAAAACATTACAGCACCTATAGCAAAAACAAAAAATATTACGCCAGCTCAAAGCTGTCATAATGCAATATATCCATGAAATCTTTATTACAAAGATCATTAACTTCCAAAAATAGGAAATAGTACCAGCATTGTATACACCCTAAAACACAGTTCCTTTCTGAAGGTAAAAGGGAAGAAGGAGTGAGAGTGGAGAGCCACCAGTGTGGAAAGGGGCTTACATAGTTGTCCCGTGCAGACCAGCCTGGGTAGAGCTGCATGTGTAGCTGTCTCTCCTTCCGTGCTAATTCATAGTATTTAGCCTGTTCTTCCCGTGAGAGGGCATGCCACTAAAACAACAGGGGAAGGAAGACAAAAACAAAAGTAAGCAAAATAGGAACAGTATATTTCATGTTTCCAACATCAAAAAATGAAAATATTAAGCATTTAAACTTTGATTTATTTCTAAATGGCAGAAGGCCAAGTGCCCAGTGCTGCAGGAATCTACTTGGAGTCTGGAGGCTAGAGTGAAACTCAAACTTTGGTTTCTTTATCCTGTTCTCCGATATCACATGAAACACATCAAAGTCAATCAAAGTATTCAAAGTAAAATGATCTCTGTCACCCACCCCTTCTCCTTTCCAATATAAATTAAAAAGAACTTTCACTGGTGAACCTCAACACCCAACTTAGCCCTTTTTCATAGTTTGTAGCATATTCTGATATCTGAGCCCAAGTACTATTTATTTATGCAAAATGTGATAATTTCCAGATGTCTTTTAAAACAGATACGCCCACTCCTCCCATGGGCATTCTCTCACTGTGTCACATGAAGAGTCTGAAACCTTAATCACAAGACGCTGCCCACAGGGGGAGACACGAGGAGCCAGCCCGCCGGCCCCAGTCGCCTCCGCACCGCGCATGGCCTCTACCAACCAACGGCTCTCTAAGCCCAGGGCGCCAAGGCCTTCACAGGCAGCCAAGATCACCTGGACACAGGGAACAGATCTTCCTTGGTTTTTCTGAGAAAACACCGATCACTGGTATTTACACAGTTAGTTCTGGTGCTAAATGTTTGATTTGCAAGAGATAAAGTGTTACCAAAAAAGGAAAAACAAAAACAAAAAGAGAGATGAAAAGAAAAAGAATGACAAGAAAGAAGTCTTCCATTTTAAATTTGTTAATTTGGCAAGTATTATTCCCCTATATACAACACTTGTTAGTACTGCAATATGTCAGTATAATTTTACATAATTTATGGCAGCTTCCTAACTTGCTGAGAAAACCTAGGATCACAAATACAAATTAACTCCCAAAATAAGTATCAAGGTTGGGTCTTCTACCCAAATAGCCAGGTATTTTTCAGTTAAAGGAGGAAACTTAGGTTGATAAGAAGACTTAAGCTAGCAAAACTGAATAAAATGGAAGGAGAAAAAACAGGGCACAAACTAGACTATTTATTTGAATTTTCAATTGATTTTAGTTCCCTGATATTTCTAATGCACAAAACCTACTTGCAAATAAGAAGTCATTTACCTAACATTGGGCAAAAAAAACCCCAAAAAACAAAAACCCAGTGGTACTGAAGTTTTACATTGAAAACAGAAATACAGACTAGAAAAATGGTCTTTCTTTAAAGGAATTTCTAAAACCTTTAAAGGAATTTCTGAAACACAATTGACCAAAATCACTTTTCTATCTCTTTGCTTATTGAAAAATTTAAACTTTCTAAAAAATCAAATTTCATTGTCAAGGTTTCACAAGTTGTGGGGCAAAGACTCATTTAATTCAAAGAAACTCCAAAACAGTTCCAAGATAAAACATTCTCACAATAAACTTGCAATACATAGAATTCCTTTATTAGCCAGAAAAGTCTAACGAGAAAAAGCTTATTTTAAAATAAGATTTGTGCTATTCTTATTTATAATATGAATTTAAAATAAAACTTTGATTGATTCATGTGAATGAACATTTCTATTTTAGAGATACAGTAAAGATGAATAAAAATCAAAAGATAAATTGTTCTGGGATGGATTTAAGATCCACTTTTAAGAACTCTAATTATCCCAGTGTAAAACTTCATGATTTTAAAGCCAGGGACTTTGAAGAGCTGGCCGGGGCTGCCCTGCCAGAGGGGAGTTATGAAAGGGGAGTTAAGAAAACCTGATCCTAATCAAACATCTCAGAGACCTATAAATAGGAACAGGTGTCTAAATCAAAGACAGAGGAAGACCCCAAATGAGAACCATCCTTGAGGACACATGCTCGGCTCTGGGGGTTGTTAAGGGAGCCGAGAAAGTGGCAATTGCTGGAACGGTGCATTAGAAATAGGAAGCTTATCTTCACATCGTATCCTCATTCTCTTGAGCAGGAAAATAATTCCTGCTGGAGGGCCAGGGGGCCTTTAACACAGAAAAGAAAAAGCTAAGAGTTTTACACAGCTGAAATAAAAACAGCAACCCTTCTCCGATTTCTTGTTTTAAAGAGTCAAGAAAAATGGTCATCAGCTTTTAAGGTGGACTTCTTCAAAGATGATGGGAATCAGTCATCTGCTATGATCTGGCTTGGGAAATCATTGTAATTCTTGTTATTAAGTGTTTAAGAATCCACAGGGAGATAGAGCATTGTACACAGGACACCAAAAAACAGCTATAATCTACCACCGCACCCTACCCGCGAACCCCGGAGCCTTGCAGATTGGAAATGGCTGCATTTCGCAGCCACCCGATGGGAGTCGATAATGCAAGAAGGCCCACTTCCTTTCCGTTCACATGGACTGGCAGCCTCCAGTGTGTTCTGTTGTGAATGCTCACATGTATTAGGTTTGGAACAAACATGGTAAAAATTATCAACAAACACTATTATAGCAAACGCACGATCTTTTGTTTCACAAGGGTTGTCAGACCCTCCTCACCTGAATGTTCACTTGCACATCATGAATTTCTTCAGCGGTTGCAAAACACATACACAGGGTCATAAATTAAGAAGCTGCCACACATATATGAAGAATGTCAACAAAGTAAGATGAAGCGTTTCTAAAATTATGATGTAATTTCAGTGAACATGTAACCTGAGTTAGAGAAATTCAAAAATTTTCCACCACTCTTCGGTTACCTAACTATAACAATTTCACTCTTGTGAGGAGTACTTGGCTGGACTGCCAGTGTTCTGGCCGGTGGTGAGATAAAGAATCCGAGAGCGTCTACCCTAGGAGTAGCCTAGTGCCACAGCAGGTGCTCCGAAAAATACCACAGCATGGGTGACAGAAGGAATTAAAAAGAAAGGGGCAATCAGAAAGCTGACATGTGCACACTTTAAGAACAGAGAGAAGGCCGGGCGCGGTGGCTCACGCCTGTAATCCTAGCACTCTGGGAGGCTCAGGCGGGAGGATCACTTGAGCCCAGGAGTTCGAGACCAGCCTATACAAAATATTTTAAAAAATAATTAGCTCAGCATGGTGGCATGTGTCTTAGTCCCAGCTACTTGGGATGCTGAAGTGGGGAGGATCACTGGAGCCCAGGAGTTGGAGGCTGCAGTGAGCTGTGATACACTGCACCCTCGCCGGGACGACACAGCAAGACCCTGTCTCAACCAATCAATCATCAATAAATTAATTAAAATAAAATAAAAAGAATAAAATCAGAGAGCCATCTTTCTAGAATCAATAGTTCTTGGGACGATATAAATTCTTCCAGTTGCAGCCTCACGGGGGGGCAGACCTGCTGTGTCTCGGGTGTGGCCACACCTGTTTGCCAGGCCGGCCCCCACAGGCCTGGCTGCAGCTCCCCAGAGGGCCGAGTGCTTCCGCGCCTCAGGGTCTGCGCCGGCCTGTCCCCAGCTGCGTGCGGCCAGCCCACCTCTCTCTGCTCATCTCGGCTTGTGGCTTCAGTGCAGCTTCCTCAGAGGGGCATTCCCAAGCCCCTGTTGTTCTTTCTCATTGAATCTTGATGCTTACATTCACATTTATCACAATTTTACTTATATATTTATTGGGTAATTATCTGTCTAAGGTATGTATCCTGTCACAAAACTTTAAGCTCCAGAAAGACCATATCTATTTTATACAGCAATTATTATCTACTGCCTAGCTTCATGCCTGGCATGAAAAGACACTCAATAAATATTTGTTTAAATAATGATAACTGTAAAAACAGTTATCATTTATAGGAAGTTCCTATGTGCCAGGTACAGTCTAGTTGTTTACGATGCATCCTACTGAATCTTCCTAAAGGCTGTGACCGTGTCTTGTGCCCTTTGTCACTTCCCGAGGGATGTGCTATACAAACACATTCAGTGACCACCTGAGAAGTAATTAAATTTGGGCAGAGTTTAATGAAGCAGTTCCATGGTTGCCATGAACATGTATAGACCACCCCATACTTACCCTTCTGCCTAAAATCTGGTTGATGGCTGCACTTTCCTTTAGAGTACACTCAGCTACGACGTTCGCTCTCATCTCTTTCATGTATAACATAAAAGCATTCAGAGGCTTCTTGATGTGAGGTCTTTTTGGCTCCTGCTCCTTTCTCTGCTCATGCTGAGGCTTCCTAAAAGGCGGTGGTGGCGGTAGGTAGGGGCAGGGGTGGAAGGGATGAGGAAAGAATGGGGGAGGAGAGAAGCAAAGCACCTGCTTACATCACCACGCTCAGGCCGGGACAACCTCACACCCCCAGACACATCACTTGGAAGAGCAGCTCTTGACTCACTTGAGACACTGAGATGCAAACAACCAACCCAACAGGGCTTCTTGTCTATGCAGCAGCTCTTTGAGAATACAAATCCTTTGGTTTAAGAAAGTGTAGCTATAGCTGTAGAAGCACTGAACGCAAAATGGGAGTGGGTTTGGCACCGGGAAGACACTAGGGCCCTGAGGCTGGGTTCCTCAGTCACCTGGGAACACGCTGCGCACAGCACACGGCGGATGGCTTCTCTTTCAGAGACAGACTCTTACCGCCAGGGGTGGGGCCAGGGCCACTTTGAGAAGCTAATGAAGCTCCAGATCTTTTCCCCTGAACAATGCGTGTTGCCTCTGCATGCACCGCAAGGAGTTTCTGGACTGTCACATGCTGCCTGCCACCTCCCATCCATCCACCCCCATCCACAGAACCTAGGTTAAGAAGCTCACCTATTCATCTCTTCAGGGTAAATTAATTTAGCCCTGGTCTAATAGTCCGAGACAACCTTGGCCCACCCGGGAATCCTGGGCGCTCTGTGCCCCTTTCTCTGGAATTCTGTGCTGCTCAAGCCTCGAGTCGGGGTTCCTGCATTTCCTTAAGGTTTCTAATTCACTCAGGTACTAACAAGTTCTCCCCTCAATAATCTGGACCCAATTACAACCTGGAGGTCAGCGGCTACCCAGCTCGAGATTCCTCCACGCCTGTGCTCTGAAGACCCTTCCCTCCTGGCTAGGGCCCCGTGATCGTTTAAGGTCTGTGCCCTTTCCAGTCTCAGAGTCAAGTCGGTGCCAGTCAAGCTGCCCAGTGGCCGCAGGGCAGAGCTTTCCAGGCAGAGCCGCGCCACAGTTCTCCCCGACAGAGGGCGCGCGACCACAGAGCCGCCGCCGCCTGCAGGGGGCGCCCAGGTGCGTACTCACACGTGCATTAGGTCACTGTCAGTGTGGGGGTGCTCCTGCTTGACCTGAGGTGTTACGATAGCTGGGTGAGGGATGCCAGTTGTGTGGGGACCAGGAGGACCAGGAATCATATGATGGGAAAACCTAAAAGAAGGAAAGAGAAGAAAAAATATGTGCTACTGGCTATTGCAGCAAAAAAAAGCTAGATGGAATTGCAAAATGATCTCCTAACCGCTATTGGCTAAGAGTTACACACTGGAGTATTAACTATAAATTAGACTGAGCTAATAATTATTTTTTCTTATTGTATTCAGGTGGTAAATATTTATAATTATTCCCTGTAGTTCTTCAAACTAATAGAATGTGACATTTTTCCTGGGAGGACCGCAGACCATAGGATTGAAAAAAAAGTGAATCATTTTTCTTGCAAAGCAGTTTTCAAATAAGAATTTCAATGAGAGTAATTACTGGAAATATAACACTTTATTAAGAGTTAGCTTTTAAAATTATTTTTAAATAAATGTTAAAGACATCATATTTAAATATCTCTGCCTACATTCCTAAGGAAACCATCACATTAAGAGTTTTCTTGTATTGTTAACTTCTTCATAAATATTAATATTAGGAGGGACAACTAAAGGGATAGGAATGAGGCCCCTATTTAGGAAGGTTTCCATTAACATACAAATTGATTTCCATGCAGAAATAAAGTAATATTTGAGAGCTAGCCTGATGGAAAACTGGTAACAGAATCAAGGGGAAAGATTTAACTACAGGGAAGGCTCAATGGCTGCACCAAGGTAAAAACTATCCCCGCTAAAGGCTTTGCCCCAAACATGCTTGTCGATCATAAAAAGAATCTTAAGACATCCACCACCAGCCAACACACAGGAGGGAAACTGCCATGCAAGAAAAATAAATAAATAAATGAATAAAGACAGCACTCTCAACAAGTGCTTTAGATAAATTGGGATATATTTTAGAAATTTTTACTTTTCAAACTGTCTTACAGGAAACATTTAATTCAACAAGAACAATATTCTCAAATCTTTCATCACAGCCTGTACAATTAATTTCTTCACCAGGAAAGGAATTCTGCTTGGATATGTAGTATTTCAGAAACAAAATTGAACTATTAAGAAAGCATGGTGAAAATACAAATATTTGACCAAATAATGTTGCTTTGCTCAATGTACCGTTTGCAAAAAAATACCTGATGCTGGTCATTTGCCTATGAGAAAACCCTATCATCACACAGTTCTTGCAATGTTGAAACGTGAAGAGTATGTTTTAGGGGGAAGGATATTAATTCAATTCCCGCCACCTACAGTCAGCTAGATGTACAACTCATTGAAAAAAATAAATATTTCTTGTAAAGCTGTAATTGACTACAGAAACTGAGAATTTCATACCCATATAAAAAAAGACAGATTCGCCACCAGTTAGTAACTCACCAGTTCGACTTCCAGCACAATAATGCTGGCTCCCTCGAGAAGCCACATGGCACACAGATGACACACCACACGCGTGCGCACACTAAGCAGGGCACAGAAGCCGACTTCCACAAGCGAAAGCATCACACAGAGCAGCCCGCGCGCAGCAGCCCGCGCCGCTGCGCCCGCGTCCGCACGGGGCCTGAGCCACACACTGGGCCGCCCTGACGGCCGGCCTGGGGCCCGGAGCCCACTGCACGGGCGCCTGCCAACGCGGCCGGTCAAAGTGCTGCGACTTCCTCGAAGGAAGCAGATCGCAGGACGGGACCAGCCCGGTCCTCGTTCGCCTCCCTCGCTCCGCCCCGCACACTGACCCCGCACGCTCCGCCCGGGTCTCCCAGCCCACGCTCGGTCGGACGATGCGTTCCTCTGGACGGAAGCCGCGTCCGAGGGTGCGGCCGGCCGGCTGGGCCCGGGCCGGCCAGAGTGGCCACGCCTGGTGTGGAGCCAGGCCCGCTGCGCGGACGCGCCGGGAAGCAGAGGCACGGGACGAAGCGGGGCGCCTGGTCCCGAGCGGCCGGCCGCCTCCACCTACCTGGACAAGGAGGCGTCGGCTGACAGTGAGGATGGGTAGGGCTGCCTGAATCCTCCCGAGATGGGATAGACAGGCTGACCTTGCCTGAGGCCACAGAAGAGAGGAGCCCATCAATGACGGAACACGCGGACACAGCAGCTCGGGCGGGGTGAGGGAACCCGGACGCAGCGTCTCCGGGTGCGTGGCTGGCCCTCGCCTCCGCCCAGGCCCGCGCCTGCCTGCCCGCCCCTGCCCCCAGCCCGTTAACACGCCCAGCAGAGCGGGCCCTTAACCAGCGGCTATTGACTGTGACGGACCCCTGGGAACGGTGACATGTTCCCGTCAGGGAAGGAGCTCTGTGAATTCTTTATCAGAATCTTTGAGAATTTTAGGGAAGGGAAGAAAGAAGGAAATAAAATTTTACATTTATATACAAATGAACAAACATTTAAAAAACACTGCGTCCCCCCGCCCCGCCCGCCACATACACATGTTAGAGTCAAGAAATAAAAGGCCAATTCATTGGCATTATTTTCTCTCCACCCTGGGAAGTCCACCTTCCCTCTGTTGTTTCCACGTCCCTCCTTTCTCATCTGGGCAGCCGCCTTCCCGCTGCCAGCGGCCGGCCGCACAGCGCCTCTGCCCGCAAGGGCTCAGTGCAGACAGAAGGACTGATCTAGGTTTGAAAGTGCACGCACAATTAACTTCAGTTATTGACTACGAGGTTGAAGGCTAAGGACAGAGAGAAAGGAGAGAGAGAAGAGAGGAGGAAGCTGGAATGCCCATGGCAGGGTGACCCTTCCTTGCTGAAGAAGAGACCAGGTAAGGGTGGCCAGGTGGAAAGATGGACCAGTGACATGGGGCTGTAGGGACAGAGACCCAAATAGAGAGAGAAACATCTGCTCGGGTTGAAGGATGATTTCCACGAGTGAGAAGTGGGGAGGGGAAGGACGGGGGAAGGATGGGAGCAGGAGGAGGGAAGCTGTATGCCAATCATAAAACGATTAAAATAGGTTAGGTTATATAAGATTACTCTTTCTTCCCCAAATAATTTCTTTTACCTTTATAAATTTAAAAAATTTTGAAGGCAGCAGTAAGAATGTTTTTAGAAATAAAACAAAATAAAGAGCATTGAGCATATGGATTCTAAAAAGAAGAAAAAGACCCCAAATTTACTACTCTGAACTCAGATTGGATGCTTGCTTTATTAAAATTCAGAAGATGCTCTTATATTGCTGAATTTCTCTCTAGTTATGTCATTTACCTCACTTGCCCACCTATCAGCAAAGCTGGATATTCAATGCGTTTATGTCTCAAAAATACAAGTTGTTCCTAAAAAACCTAGGGGGGAAAAGCCCACATTAAGCACTAACTTTGTGTGGGGCATAGCAAATGCCCAAAGCCACAAATTGAATCCACAAGACTCTAAGCTTCAAAGCAAATGCTATACAGTCATTTTCTACACATATTAGCAAACGGATCCAAGCCATTTCAAAGGCTGTATGTTTTTTAATCTTTTAAATTGAAATGAATACAGTTAGCACCCTGCTTGTTGATGTGAAATTTCTTTAACTCCACGAGTGTTCGTTCCCATTCGTAAGGCTAATTTCCATGAGTGGAAACGGAAGGACATGCATTCAAACTCCTGCTGAAGGTTATGGGAAGGCTCTTACCAGCCGAGAGGTGGGGTGATCTGTCCGACACCACCCGGAGACAGGGGGTAGAAGGCAGGGATGTCGGGCGCTGGCGGGTGTCTGGACATGCCTATGAGAAAGAACGACAGAGATTCATGGCAACACGACCAGAAGGAGCACCAGGAAAACAACAAAATGTTTTCTGCCATTAACACTGAAGGTCTAGAATGAAACAGTAACTCTTCTTCAGATCCAATCGACACAAGTCAGTCTGTTAGCTCTGTCCGAGATTTCCACGATGGGGAGAACAGGGTCCGCAGACAGCAGATCCCGAGGAATCATCAAAACAGACTTTGAAATTATTGACTCATTTGCCCTCATTATTTCACTTTGGTTAATAAAATGGTAGACAGTTGTTTTGTGCAGGATGAAAAACGACAGCCCTTTGTAAGTGGACGGCTTGCCGTGGTGCTCAGGGATTAGGTAAATTGCCACTTTCATATTTCCGTTGGTTCCCTTATGGACACATAGTCTTGGGAAATGTGACGCCTCAGAGGGTCACAGATTAATTAGGAATCATCCTCAGCCCCACAATGGCCACACTTGATACGATTCATCTGGTCCCTGCCACTGCAGCTCCAACTAAGCTCTCTGTCGAGTTGAGTCCTCTGGGCGCCAAGGTCAAGCCGTTCTGGATTAGTCGGATGCCACAGAAAAAGCCAGTGGCCCCCAAATTGTTTCTTGAGCTCACACTCCCTGGAGTGCACTGCCCTGTCACTGTGAAAACCACCTAGAGATGGCACCTAATACTAGTCCCAAGTGACATCCCTTTGACTGTACCTTACTCTAGGTATGGGGGCGGGGGAGACAAGACAAATGCATGAAACGTAAAATGCAAAAACTTAGATTTTAATTTATTTTGGGGAAAGTGACTCTGAACAGAAAAGGGCCACAAAAGTCTCTTCACACAGCTGAATCACAGCTTTGGAATAGCACCTGCAGAGAAGAGCGCAGGTGCGGGCTAACTCACAGAGCAGTGAGTGTGAACGTAGGGCTGATGTGCAGAATTAAGGGAGTACATGGAAGATACTCTGTAAATATTCTGCTTTTTTACTATTTAAAATGCCTATAGATTTCATTTGGATCTTAGGAGATACTGAAGGCCTTGAAATTGGGAATAACTGAAGTGCTGTCTTCAAAGTTGATGTTAATTTGACTTTGAAGTTAGAACAAACTTAAATATTTCTCAATTCTTACAGAAAGGAGGTGGGAAGGAGAGAGGTCTTTAATCTCTCAACAGAGACCTTACATGAGATCAGCTCATGATTTGCTACTTTTCAAAATAGTTTCAAATCTCCTTTTTTTTAAAAAAAAATATTTTTTTGCTAGAAATATTGATTCTTTTGGTCACAGTGGACCCCAAATTTTATATCCCACAGTTTTTTTCTTGGGTCTGGGAAGGTTCAGGCAGCAGGGGTGACCCTAATGGAGCCTGCAAGGGTGATTCTTATTTATTTATTTTTGAGACAGAGTCTCACTCTGTTGCCCAGGCTAGAGTGCCATGGCGTCAGCTTAGCTCACAGCAACCTCAAACTCCTGGGCTCAAGCGATCCTCCTGTCTCAGCCTCCTGTATAGCTGGGACTACAGGCATGTGCCACCATGCCTGGCTAATTTTTTCCATATATTTTTAGTTGTCCAACTAATTTCTATTTTTTATTTTTTTAGTAGAGATGGGGTCTTGCTCTTGCTCAGGCTGGTCTCGAACTCCTGACTTCGAGCGATCCTCCTGCCTTGGCCTCCCAGAGTGCTAGGATTACAGATGTGAGCCACCGCACCCGGCCGAGAGTGATTCTTGACATGTACAGATCATTGGTGCGTTTTTTCAACCTGCCGCCTCCCTAACCCTGAGATCCAGATACCTCCCTGCAAAGCTTGGGGTCTCAAGGGGAATCACTCAGTTTTGGAAACAAAAACAATACAACCAGACTAACCCTAACTAAAGAGCGTTAGAACTTAGTGGAAATGTGAGAGCTTTTTTTTTTAAATGTGTTAACCTGAAAATCATGGTTAGAGGTCACAGACTATCTGAATTATCTACTTTAATCGCTTTATTTTGCATGTGGAGATTAAGGTCTAGAGAGGTGTGGCTTACATATAAAGTATGTTCTGTCCTTGGCTTTGATCACTGGGATACAGAGAGGTAACTTGCTTCTAATCACGTCTTTAAGCTTAAAACTCTTGCTCTTCGTGCTAGCCCATGTTCTCAGTACACTCAGAACACTGCGGAGTGATTCAAATGAACAAAAAATACAAACTAGCTGTCTTTGGTTTTCTGTTAGAAGAGGAAGGAGGGGATTACCATTTACTTAGCACCCGCTATGTGTCAGGTTCTGCATCTATTAAAATTCTACTTGTCTTTCAAATGCCCCTCCTCCCAGGCAATTTTCTCTAACTTTTACAGTTCTGAGAAATCTCTTTCTCGTTTAAATCTACAACTTCTTATTTGTACTTTTAATGTGGTACTTGGGATATTCTTCATTTTGTTTTATAGTTTGTGCAAAGGATTTCCTGCATGAGCTTATATACTGCTTGGGAAAAAGACCACATTTTACCAATTTATGTATCAAACCACAGTTGTCTGCAGAGAAGGCTCTCGGTGAGTATTTCTGATGGAACAAATGGACAAGTGAAATGAAAGGGACCCGTTCCCTATGCTGGGTCAATATTACCAACCATTTCGCGTGTACATACAAGTACATGATGTAGAATAGGCATTACATGAGCAGAAAATGGATCTGTGTGTTTGAAATAGCTCACTGTCCTTTTAAGATCTTGTTTCCAAAGATGCCTAGAAATGTGTGCCTCTCCACTGAGCGCCGTGCTGCCGGGGACACATTTCACGTCATTTATTCAACTGGTATTTATTGAACATTTACTATGTGCTGGAGGATATACTCAACATAGCTTTAAAGATTTTTAAGCTTTTATTAAGTAACTTCTATAAATATATAGATAAAATAATTCTGGAGTCAAACTGCATAGTAGCAAACGCTACTCACTAGCTACATATCTTTGAGTAAGTTATTTGTTACTATTTTGTAAAATCAGAATAGTAACAGAACACAGGTTGTTGTGAATAAGTGCATTAATATATGTAATACAGAAAAGTGCCTGGTACAAAATATAAGTGCTATGTAAGTGTTTATTGTTATGTATGAGGATAAAATGGATAATACAGAGATAGAAGCAGGTATATAAACCTAGTATTTCCTAAAAGCTGTCCTTTAACATGTTTACCAGACTGACAATAAGAAGAAAAAAATGATTGGTATTAACTTCCTTTCCCTTTCCTACACACACACACACACACTCACTCACACACTCACACACACACACTCACACGGAAGTGAAACCAATTTACTCCTTAATAGAAAATTAGCCCTAAGTTCTTTTCTCATCAATGAGAATGGGTTCTGCTGACAAAAAGTTTGTATTTACTCTATTTACTGGGTGGTTCTATCTAAAGTTAGAGTGTGAACATGACACTCTTTGGGTTTTTTTGTTTTGGATAAACCTAACTCACCTACCAGAGGAACTTTGAAATCGGCAGCTCTGGCCTCAGGACCACGATGCCCTAACTAGTTCAGCTACACACTACACCCCAAAGGCAGGAGAGAACAAGAATAAAAGAAGAGTCTAGTGGGCTTGTTTTTTCGGCAATGAAAGTACCCAAATGGAATTATATAAACTCAGTATCATGTGAATGAAAGCTTTCCAAGCCAGAGTTTACATATCTCCAGGAGTTACATGATGATGAGGTACATAAGGCCCAGGATAAACATGTAATGAAAAACAGAATTTTTATATATCAAAATAAGCACAAATAGTATATGGACTAGAATATAAAAGTCACACCCATTTTTAGAACAAAATAAGGACTAAAATAACTACAAGCAGACAGCTTCTAGTCATGCCCACGAGTCCCTTCTCAGTAGTTCTAGAGCATTTCTTTTCTTTTTCTTTCTTTTTTTTTTTTTTGAGACAGAGTCTCACTCTGTTGCCTGGGGTAGAGTGCTGTGGCGTCAGCCTCGGTCACAGCAACCTCAAACTCCTGGGCTCAAGCGATCCTCCTGCCTCAGCCTCCTGAGTAGCTGGGACTACAGGCATGCGCCACCATGCCTGGCTAATTTTTTGTATATATTTTATGTTGGCCAATTAATTCTTTCTATTTTTAGTAGAGATGGGGTCTCTTGCTCAGGCTGGTTTCCAACTCCTGACCTTGAGCAATCCTCCCGCCTCGGCCTCCCAGAGTGCTAGGATTACAGGCGTGAGCCACCGCGCCCGGCCTTAGAGCATTTCTTTTTTTAAAAAAAAATGAGAAGCAGTGACAGAAATTACAATTAGGCAAAACAAGCCAGGGTAGCAGTAAGACACAGAAACAGAAGAGAAAATATAAATGTCATTAGTTACCAGTTACAAACCTGTCTCTTTTAAAAATTGAACTGTTTTAGATTTCTTGAGAGAAAAACTATTGAACCATGATTGTTATTCTTTTAAATAAGTTAATGTTTCAAAGTGCTTCAGAGAGGACCTGAGACACAGCAAGCACTACTGAATTGTTAGTTAAACAAATAAATGGTTAAAAATGAATAACCACACATGTTGGAGTTCCTTTTGCTTAATTGCGCGCTGTTTGTACCGGTGCTCTAACCTGGCCCAGCCCGACGTTGTCTTCCGCCGGCCGGCTGGCGGTTCTCGCCCCCGCCTGCGCGGCCCTGGGTTGGGATTCCTCAAGACCAGCCGGCCCACTGAGCCGAGCGCCTTTGCCTCCTGCGGGCCTTTTGGCAGGAGGCCTGTCCGCCCGGCCATCGCCTGTTCCGCGGGCCAGGCGCCTCCGGACAGTGGCCTGGGTGACAGGGCCCGGGCGACAGGCTGGGGGTGGGGGTGGGGCGGAGAAGCCTGGCGGACGGGGGGGGGACAGGGCCTGGCCGGTGACAGGGCACCTCGGTCGACAGGGCCTGGCGGACAGGGCGCCTCGGGGACAGGGCCTGGTTGGGGACAGGGCCTGGCGGGGGACAGGGCGCCACGGGGACAGGGCCTGGCGGTGGCGGCAGGGCGCCTCGGGGACAGGCCTGCGGACCAGGGCCTGGGGACCAAGGGCCTGGGCGGCCGGGACAGGGCTCCTGGTTAGGAAGGACAGGCCCGGGCGGGGGGACAGGGCCTGTAGGAGGACAGGCCCGCGGGGGGGGACAGTGCCTGGTAGGGACAGGCCTCAACAGTTAGGAGGACAGGCCCGGCGGGACCAGCCTGTAGGGACAGGGCCGGCAGGGGGGACCAGGGCCTGTAGGAGGACAGGCCGGCGGGGGGACACCTGTA